TTGAATCAAGAACAGATAAGCAACTTAAACAGACCTATAACCTCTAAGGAAATAGAAGAAGTCATCAAAAGTCTCCCAACCAAAAAAAGCCCAGGGCCAGATGGATTCACTGCAGAATTCTATCAGAAATTCAAAAATGAGCTAATACCAATACTCCTCAAATTGTTCCACACAATAGAAGCAGAAGGGACATTGCCAAACTCTTTTTATGAGGCTACAATAACCTTGTAAGCCACACAAAGACACAACTAAGAAAGAGAACTACAGACCAATATCCCTCATGAACATTGATGCAAAAATTCTCAATACAATATTGCAAAATTGAATCCAAGAACACATCAGAATCATCCACCATGATCAAGTAGGCTTCATCCCAGGGATGCAAGGATGGTTCAACATATGAAAATCCATCAATGTAATCTACCATATAAGCAGATTGAGGGGAAAAAAACATGATCATCTCACTAGTTGCAGTAAAAGCCTTTGACAAAATCCAAAACCCCTTCATGATAAAGGTCTTGGAGAAATTAGGGATAACAAGAACATACCTTAACACAATAAAAGCAATATACAGCAAGCCAACAACCAACATGAAATTAAATGGAGAGAAATTCAATGCAATTCCTGTAAAATCGGGGACAAGACAAGGCTGTCCACTCTCTCCATACCTCTTCAATACCTCTTCAATATTGCTAGAGCAATAAGACAACAAAAGAAGATCAAGGGGATAAAAATTAGAAAGGAAGAAATCAAACTTTCACTATTTGCAGATGATATGATAGTCTACATAAGTGACCAGAAAAACTCTACCAGGGAACTCCTACAGCTGATAAACATCTTCAGCAAAGTGGCAGGATACAAGATTAACTCAAAAAAATCTGTAGCCCTACTATATAGTGATGACACACTGGTGGAGAAAGAAATCAGAGAAACATCACCATTTACAATAGCCACAAACAACATAAAATATGCTGGGGTAACACTAACCAAAAAAGTGAAAGACCTGTACTGTAAGAATTTTGACTCTCTAAAGAAAGAAATTAAAGAAGATACCAGAAAATGGAAAGAGCTCCCTTGCTCTTGGATAGGTAGGATCAACATGGTAAAAATGGCAATCTTGCCAAAAGCAATCTACAGATTCAATGCAATCCCCATCAAAATCCCAACACAATCCCTTGAAAGAACAATTCTCAACTTCATTTGGAGAAACAAAAGACCCAGGATAGCCAAAACAACCCTGTACAATAAAGGAACTTATGGAGGCATCACCATCCCTGACTTCAAGCTCTATTACAGAGCTATAGTCCTGAAAGCAGCTTGGTATTGGCACAAATATAGACAGGTAGACCAATGGAATAGAGTTGAAAACCCTGATATTAACCCACACACCTATGAACACCTAATTTTTGACAAACAATCCAAATTTATACGATGGAACAAAGAGAACATCTTCTACAAATGGTACTGGCATAACTGGATGTGGACATGTAGAAGACTACAGATAGACCCAAGCCTTTCACCATGCACAAAACTTAAGTCAAAATTCATCAAAGACCTCAACATAAACCCAGCCACACTGAACCTACTATAAGATAAAGTGGGAAATGCCCTTGAATTAATCAGTACAGGAGACTGCTTCATGA